TCTGAGTCTGCACCCTCTGGGCCCTCCCTGCACAAGCATGCACACCCCCTCGCCTCCCCCATTCCCCTTTGGGCACAAAAAGAGCATTGTTTGTCCCCAAAGACTGGCCCTAACTGCAAACACACTTCAAACTTTGAGCCAGTCCAAATGCATATTGTCCTCCCACACCAGTACGAGCCTGAACATCCAATTAAACTAAAAAAAACTTCTTGCAGAAAGAAATTTATCTGGCTGCAGCCAACTGCTCTGTGTCATTTAGAAAGCGTCTCCTGCACTTAGTAGAATGGGGTACCTTTGCACCAGGGTTTCTACTGGGACCCAACATTCATCTCACATGTAGGCAGATTGTACACAAGCAAACACATTAGAGCACAATGCCAGGGAATATTCAAGCAGACGTCTCTGAGGTGGGAAATGCATACAGACGGCACTGTATTTAGCAGGGCAGGGGCCGAGGGGGCCTCCACGGATTTCTGGAAACCATGGATAATTTGCCATTTTCCTTGCTCTGTCACTGAAAGACCCCTCTGTTTCCCCCCTCCTGCCTCATTTCCCCCCTCATCCCCACCCCCCCTTCCACAACTGTCATGGGTCATCAGTAAAGAAAATAGGGAATTGTTTCCCCTTTCCAACCCCACCCTGCTGCTCTTATGTGGAAATGCAACTGCGTATCTGTGATGTACTTAATGCACTGAAAGGAGCAAGCCTCTGTGTCCCACATCATCCTTCATCCCTTCCTCTTCAGTAACTGCACCTTTTCTTCCTTTCTTTCTAAAAAGATTACAACTTTTTCTCTCTAAAGTGCCACCCACAAAACCCACTCCGCCCCTCCCCCAGGTAGCTCCAGAAAAAATAAATGAGGGTCAAAGTTGAGCAGTCTTAGAATGGGGTTCTCTGCACTACTTCACTTTGTACAAAATTCCCCAAAAGGATGCACCTGCAGACATGGCTATTGCCTGACAGCCTCAAAACTCTGAGAGCCTTACTTGCTTGAGCGAGTGAGTAAAGTGCCAGCCATTTACCTAATGTTGATTGAATTGTAACTAAGGTTTACAGGTACATACTTCACTGTTTCTGGTTTTGTTGTTGCCTTATGATACCACAAAGCTCAGATCTACCTACAGATGCAATGGCACTCTTGAAATGAATATTCTGTTTAACCAATGCGAGGGGATGGAGAATGATACACGCCAGCTAAAACAATTTAGGGGATGTTAAAATGTGATGGCATCCTCCTCTCCCAAATACATTCAGATGGCCACCCCATAGTTGCTGTCTGGGAATATTAACCTCTCAGTGTAGCTCACCACGTTGTAGCACTGAGTATTGTACAACCTCAGGCTCCCTCAGCAAGGGTAGCATCCTCCTAGCAAGGAGGGTGTCACTGGAGTAGAAAGCTGAGTCTCCTACCATGCTCCCTGGCTCTCATCTCCCATTCTCAGAGCCAGCTGCCTCTTCAGAAGATCTTTCATAGGCCCCTGGAGCACCTGAGGCTAAGTGCCTCGCACTTAGGAAAAGCAGAGCAGGGATGCCCAGGGAGCAACGGCTTGCTCCATGCACTGCCCATGGAATAGGCAGGACATGTTAAAATGCCCACCTGGACAGCTCACTAAGGGTCAGGCAAAGAAGGAGACCATGACAAAAGAAAGCACAAATCCACTACTAGCTCATAAGGGGCCTTTCTGGGCAAATGAAGCCCACTTCAGAAAGCATGAGAGGTTGGATTTTAACTCCTATTTGTCCTTTCTGTCAGATGCTCCTGTACAGTGAACCACTGCGGCGGGGTCAGGGCGGATGACAGCAATGCTCATGAAAGGAAGGAGTCTGCTGTGGCCACTCAAAACCTACCTAACCATCCTTACCCTCTTTCCTCTGGGTGCCCAGAGAAGGCCCATCTCATCCTTCCCAAGTCCTTCTCAACAACAGATCCATCTGACACTCCACAGGACAGCATGCAATGGGAACTTTTAAGAATCAAAGCCCAAGCTACCATCAGCCAGTCACCCTAACTCCCTGCCACCCAGTGTCAGCACAGGGCCTGCTGCGCAGCAAGGCATCAACCTGGTCTGTGGGTTGCCACACAATAATGAAACAGCATAACTCTATGCTTTAGTGATCCGAACACTGAACCTGGTGCTTTATTTGCCAAAATATAGACCGAGACATTTAACCTGCCTATCTCAAGTTGAAAAGTTCTACTAGGGAAAGGCCTGCTAGAGTGTTTCTGCAATCAGTGGGAAGATTAAGAACAAGGCAGGGGAAGAATTCAAACCATAGCTGAGGTCAGGCCCTGGAAAGTTTGGCTAGGATGTCCATTGGCTTCTGGCTTCTTCCACCACTGGTCACTAGCTCTTTCAGGCTGTCACATAACAAAAATGAACTTTGAACTAGCACCAGCTGAGAATGTCTATTCCAAGCAGGACTTGTGATAGAGCACACTTTAAACCACTGACCACATCCTAACTACCACGCATTCAGATTCCTCAATCAGAAGGTTCAGGAGCAGGCAGTCAAAAACCTAATAAATGTCTATTTCAACAATGCTGGTCAAACCAATTCTTTCCTCCAGGAATCTGAAAACAGGGGCTATACAGGGTTGAGCAGTGGTCCCACAAAAAGATATTTTCGCCCAGAACCTAAGAATGTGACTGTATTTGAAATATGGGCCTTTACACCTGTAAATCAAAGGAAGGATCTGAAATCTCCCTGGTTGGGACTCGGGCTAAATCTAATCAATCTTAAGAGATAGCAAAAGACACAGAGGCACAGCAAAGAAGGTCATATGAAACAAGGGGCAGAAATTGGAAAGACACAGTTACCAACCAAGGAGACAGGGACTGCCAGGAGCCACCTGAAGCCAGGAAAGGGACACATTTTCCCTCAGAGCCTCCAAAATGGGATAACCTTTGACACCTTGATTTTGGACTTCTGACCCTCTGAATTGTCAGAGAATAAACATCTATTGTTTTAAGCTACACACTGCCTTTGTTATGGCAGCCTGAAGAAACAAATAGAGGGCCTAAAGGTGTCATAAGGTCAGGCTGGTGGGAGCACAATAGGGCCACGTAGAAACTGAGAAGAAGGCCCATGCCAGAGTGAGGACCTCTGGGCTCCTGTCAGCTCACGAAAGTCCCAGCAGCCCCTGGGCTACTGGGCTGCCCCAGTATCTGTCCAACAATGACCCTTTAGTGCATAATCTGGGTGAGGCCATTTTCTATGTCTTCTAACAAATCTAAAGCCTTACACATAGTCCTTTCCTAGCATTCTGCCAGGTCAGGCACAGGTGTGGGCTGCCGCAGGAGGTAGGGACACAGCCCCAGACAGAGTCCTCTCTTCGAGCAGCGGGCCAGGCACCAGGCTTGAGGTAGCCACTCAGGCATCCTGGGGAGGGCGCCTGCACTTTTCAGAATACCCCATCCTAGAATTCAGGGTCACACCTTAATGACCATTTTCTCCCAACTGCAAAGTTGGGGACAGGCAGGGGTGCTGAGGCATTGTTGGCTTTCTAGTGACCAGAGACAAGTACCCCACACCCGCCGAACGAAGGTCTTCTGCTAGAATGCTTAAGTTTCTAACACCCAAAGGCAGAAGGTGGGGGAAGCTTCCAGAGATGCTCTCCGATCTCCGCCCTCCGTGAGTCAGATCCCTGGGATGAGGGGAAGGCCAGGTCCCTCCGCCAGCTCATACCGAGAGGAAGAAGAGGATGACAGCGCCACTCCAGGACAGGCAGCGCAGGTGACCGGATCTCCCAGAAGAGGCAATTTCTACACTCTGGTTACTCTGTGAGTCTCTGGGAGGTGGTGAGAGGTAGGGAAAGAAGGGATAGATGAGGCCAAGACCCAGCCCAGCCTGGGACACCACCAGACCTCACTTTCCACGTTCCTGCCCCCCCCCCGTCACTGGTGGCGAACCTATGACACCGTGCTGCAACCGGCTGTTATCACTGAAAGCTCTGAAAGGTTTTCATCACTGCCCTAGGTGAAGGCCAACAGACTCTTTGCTTGCTTCTTTCCCCACTAGGCCGGGGAACAGGTCACCTATCCCTGTTTGTGCCCTGTGACTTCGATCTCCTGACCACTCTCCTGTTTACGCGGTCATGTTTTTTTCCACTAGTCGCGCCAGTGCTCTTTGTTACAATCCTTTATCCCGCGCTGTTGCAAAAGCGTCCTGCTTAGTGACCCACGACTATCTTCGCTTATCTTCCACAAGCAGACTCGTGTCCCATCTTTCAGACAGGAAAGTGAAACTCTGGATCGCGAAATACTGCTCCCAAAGCCACAGGGCCACTCAGCAGCTAGAACGGGGACGCGAGCCTTGCAGCCGGCTCCAGATTTCCACAACTCGCCGCGCAGCTCAGGCTTTCCTGCCTGCCCTAGCTTCCCATCCCACCCCAGCGAGGGGCGTCCGGCCCGCCCCTGGAGGAGCGTGCCTCGGCCGCTAATCGCCCTTCGCCCCCGCCCCCGTCAGGGTTTCACTGCCTGGAGACGCCCGGGTCCGCTCAGCTAGAGCCCGCTCCGCGGCCAGGCCCTGCGCCCATTGGCCGGCGGTAATTACGGGCACGCTCCGGGAGGGGGAAGGGCGGGGGCAGCCTCCCGCGAGCATAAATTATGCAAATACCCGGGCGCCGCACGGGGCTGACCTGCCGCCGCGCTCCATTCACCCGGGCTGCCTCGGGGTGGAGGTGGCAAGGGAGGGGGGGCGCCCATTGTTGCGCTGGGTACTTAAGGGGTCCTGAGGCCAGTCGTGTGCCACACTTGGTGCTCACACGAGCTGATCTGATCGCCGGGGACATCGCTCGGGAGACCAGCCCGGCGCGTGGCCCCTGCAGGCGAGGCGAGGAGGCAAAGCCAAGTTCCCCTTGCGCTCCTGCGCCAATCCAGGCCCTCGCGCCCGCAGCGGGCACAAAGTAACCCCGGGCCATTCAGAACATCAGTGCCCCACCAGACCCAGCGGGTTTGCCCTCCGCCGGGCTCCAGCCATCTAGTCGTCGTCCCATCCAACCGTCGATCCTGCACACCCCAGCGATGCCCGCCCCGCTGGAGACCTGCCTCTCCGACCTCGACTGCGCCAACAGCAGCGAACTGTCCGGCTTCCTCACCGACGAGGAAGACTGTGCCAGGTTCCCGTCTCCAGCTTCCGCCTCGGGGCCGCCCGCGCCGGCCCGCAGGGGTGCCCGGGGGATGCCCGCGGCGACCGATGTTCCAGTGGCTCAGGACGAGGAGCAGGAGCGACGGCGGCGCCGCGGCCGCGCGCGGGTGCGCTCTGAGGCGCTGCTGCACTCGCTGCGCAGGAGCCGGCGCGTCAAGGCCAACGACCGGGAGCGCAACCGCATGCACAACTTGAACGCCGCGCTGGACGCGCTGCGCAGCGTGCTGCCCTCCTTCCCCGACGACACCAAGCTCACCAAGATCGAGACTCTGCGCTTCGCCTACAACTACATCTGGGCGCTGGCCGAAACCCTGCGGCTAGCAGACCAAGGGCTGCCCGGGAGCGGTGCCCGGGAGCGTCTCCTGTCTCCACAGTGCGCCCCCTGCCTGCCCAGACCCCCGAGCCCGGCCAGCGACGCAGAATCCTGGGGCTCCGGTGCTGCCGCCTCCCCCTGCGCCGCCGCCGCCTCGCCACTCTCTGACCCCAGTAGCCCTGCAGCCTCTGAAGACTTCCCCTATGGCCCTGGTGACCCCCTTTTCTCCTTCCCTGGCCTGCCCAAAGACTTGCTCCACACGACACCGTGCTTCATCCCTTACCACTAGGCCCTGTGCAGACAACGTTACCTTCCTCCTCCCCCAGTCAACGGCAATAGATGGGAACCCAGCTGCGGCCTCAGGACCCCTCTCCAGGCGGAGGGAGGGAGCAGGAGCTTTCAAAAGGTTGGGGGATACCTGAGACGCTTGTTAGGTCGCTGTACCCTGGCTGAGGCTGCCCCTTGGTCTATTTCTCTTGCCTTCAGCCCCGTCCCCCCCCCCCCCGCCCGCCCTCAGACTGGCCTTTCCTTTTGCACTTTCTGAACTCCACAAAAACCTCCTTTGTGGCTGGCTCAGAACTGACCCCAGCCACCACTTCAGTGTGATTTGGAAAAGGGACAGACCAGCCCCTGAAGACGAGGTGAAAAGTCAATTTTACAATTTGTAGAACTCTAATGAAGAAAAACGAGCATGAAAATTCGGTTTGAGCCGGCTGACAATACAATGAAAAGGCTTAAAAAGGAGACACAAGGAATGGGCTTCATGCATTATGGATCCTGACCCCACCACTGCGGTCTCGCTCTAGGAAGAACCCAAGCGCTTGCTTGCATAGCTATTCAGGCACTGGGCCGAGGGTACTTTAATTTATTCAAGATACTTCATTCATATGAAAATGTATTTTTGTACATAAAGAGTTTATTATTATGAGCTATCGGAGTTTACAATTTTTTGTACTGCAGATGCTTCATGTAAATAAAAACTAAAAAAAAAATCACCAAATTTCTTACCTAATCTCAGTGTCTCTGGCCCTTTTTCTTGCCTTCCTTTGGTGGCTGCACCACTAACGTGAAACACTATCCCCATCCACCTCCAAACCCTCCCATCCTGTTCCAGAAACAATTATAAAATAAAGCGCACCTGATTTCCACCAAGAACAAGATAAAGACAAGCCAGGGTGTTTGGGATCCATCATTTCCTTTCACGTCAATCACAAGAGAGATCTTTCAGGCGCCCCATAAGCCAATTAAGACTTTTTAGTGGGGAATTAGCCCCGGATATGCTGCTACCTGTAGAGGTAGGGGCGGCAAGAGTCTTTCTTTTGAGGAACTCTACATCAGCTGGCTCTGTGTTTCAAAGAGAGAGGATTAAAAAGATCAATATAGTGTGACCACTGGTTAGGAAGTCCCAGTGACAGGTGGGCTTAGGCTGGCCAAACAGAAGGGTCCACTCTTGTAACAGCCTATTTAGAGAGGAAAATTGATTTGTGGGCATTGCCTTTATATTGTCTATTGAGGCTGGGGTCACCCTAGCTGTGAGGTGTGGGGTGAATTATGCTGGTATGGTATCAGCGAGGGAGTGGGTATGCAGCTGCCTAAAATTGTGAGGTGGGGTGCCTGCACCCCATTCACCGCACCATACATTTACACCCACTGCAGTCTGAAATGCGGTGAAGGGGTCCCTCTGGAGAGAGGGCTGGTGCTGGGCCTGCTGAGCCAGTCCTCAGGGCAACAGCCAAAGTTCTCATTTGCTGCCAGAGAAATCCCAGCAGACTATTGTGGCTATAGTGTGTCTGTCTGTTGTCTGACAACTAGCTAACAGCACCAGCCAGTGGCTACTTTGTTTTAAAATTCAGAATGGGATGGTACAAAAGGGTCAGCCTTGTCTATTTCTCCAGCCCCCACATTAAGTTACCCTACACTGAGACCAACATTCTCCCAGTGGGCTACCTACCCCTTCCTATAAAGAATACACTTATTTTGCATTGAGTGAAGGGAGGTGATACTATGTTCAGAAAGAAATGATATCTAGGGTGTTAGAGAAAATAAGATGAATGGAGACAGACCGAGGCCACTGACAGCTCATTCCCCTTTATGGAAATGTTTTTCAAAAAGTTGTATCTCTTGAATGGCCCACCCTGGGGCCTGCTCCATCATCTATGTCAGAATTACACTACCCTGCGAGTGTTGCATTCCCAAGACACAAATGGTCTGCATCAGATATTCTGCTCTTTTTGGATAGGATGCTTAGCAGTGTGATTCCTTTCAACCTTGGGACCCAGGCTGGGTTTTCAAGAAGGACAGGTCCCCTAAGAAACTCTTCAGTCATGATGCAGATGCTGTCTGAGACAGCACAAGAGAACAGCAGTTTGTGTTTTTGCTTAGAATCCTTGGGAAAAGCCCAAGCTAAGGGCTGGAGTAGGAGTTTAACCTCATACCACTGGACACAGCCAGCTCTGGAAACCAGGGAAACCATTATTGCCACAAGGCTGAAGACTAGCTCACGATATTCCCAATTTGGTTGCCACAATAGACTCCCAACTCCAAGGTGCTGGACCCAGAACCCCTTTCCATAAAGAGAAGTCCTTTGCCATGTAGTTAGGGAGTGGGGCTGTCTCCACGCAACCAGTTAATGCTCTTCTTCCAATGAAGCAAGCATCTATGCCAGCCTTGTGAGCTCTGAAACAGGAGAAAAGAAGGAAGGTGATTTAAAATGCTTACCCCTAGATCAGGGGCTTCTTCTTCCTTCAGTAAAGTCTTACTCATTCCCTGGCATCTATGAAGGCAGGCTGGAGGGTTTGTAATCAGTTATAGAGCAAAGAACTTCCTGTTGACAGCCACATCATCTTCCACTGAAGAATCAGCATGTACTTAAGTACGGTAGTCTTATTTATTCTCTCCTTTGTCTTTGTCCTTGATATATATATCAGTGCTGCTGAGCCCAAGGGAAGCCAAGAAAGGGATGATTTCAAAGAAATACTAAAATGAAGATTTCATTCACTCTCTCGTTTCCTTAATGATTCTTCTTATCAAAGGGTTTTGTCTCCATGGCAGTGCTATTGGGAAATACTGTGGACCTTCAGCAGGTGGCACCTTATGGGAGGTCTTTAGGCATTCCTATGATGTGCCACCTCATCAGAGCCTGAAATCAATGGTACCAGTCCTGGACTTGGCCCTTCTTTACTTCATAAGTATCTGGTGCCAGGTATTTTGGTACAGTAACATGAAGGTGACTTATATAGTGAGAAAGAAAGCCAGCCAATTTTTAGGTGAAAGCATGGGTGAAGTGCAGAGCAAGGGAAGAGTTCTGGCCATTCATTCATAGTGTATTAGAGGAATAGCAAGGAGGCTGACATGATTGGAGCAAAGCACGAGGTGGTCAAGGAGAAAGAGATAGAAAGGGCAGGATTCATGCTGCTGAGTCTCGTAAACTAGGATATGGACTTTGGGATTTTTCTCAAGCTGATTGGAGGATTGAGAGCAAGGTAGTGATGTGAACTGACTTACTTTTTAAAAGGCCACACTGTTGTTATATGGATAATAGATGTTAGGGGCTAAGGCAGAATGGGAAACCCAGCTATACAGTTAGTACTACAGATGTGGAGATGGAGTTAGAGGCAGAGATATAAAGAGAGAGATAGCAATGATGATAGAAGTAGTGAAACTGGTCAGAACCAGGATACATTCTGAAGGCAGAGACACAAGAATTTGTTGTTGGGCATGAATTGAGACAAAAAAAAAGAGAGAGAGAGAGATGGCATTAAGGATTTGAATCAGAAACACAGAACCTATCCCCCAAATCCCTTTCCAAATATTAAAGAGAAAGGTTAATTTGACCTTAAAGTGCTCATTTTAGCACCAAAAATAAAGATAGAAACAAATTGTAGTATCATAGATAAAGACAGATCAGTACCCAAGAAAACCATCACACTGTCTGGGCTGGGGCCAGAAACAATTCATAATGAAGGTGTCAAAAGAGCTTCTGATGTCGTTAGTGATGTCCTCAACAACAGCAGCATCACCGTTATCACCATCACCATTATCACCCTAGCTAACATTTTACAGCACTTACTCTGTTCTAAGCATTGTTTTAAATATATTGCATGTATTAATTCACTTCATTCTCACAGTTCACTAGGTCAATACTATTATCTCTACTTTGCAGATGAGGGAAGTGAGACACAGCCAAATAACTTGCCTAAGGCCATGCAGCTAGTAAATTGGGAAACTGAGATTTGAACCTAGGTAATCTGACTCCAGCATTGCTGCTACCTCTTTGGCTGGATCTTCAGGGCTAACAATGAAGTTCGAGTTGGACTGGGTGGCACAGGCTTGCAATCCCAGCTAATCATTTTATGAGCTGTCACTTCCTAAAATGGCTCGGGACAAATACTCAACTCAGAGACTGTATGAACCTACTGCTTGCTGGGCTGATGGCCAGGTATCAAGCAACCCTGGAGGCAAGATGCCCAAACTTGTCACTGGGATTTCAGATGGCTGAGAGCTTATACTGTCTTCACTGGCAGGGACCAGATACCAATACTGGACCACCTTCTGTGCCCACTCTCTTGCTCCAATGATACCCCCAGGGTTGTTGACAGTATATCTTCTTCCAGCCTTGAGAATGAGATATAATGTGTACCCACATGATGCTAAGGTGGTCTCAAGTCATGGAGATGCAAGCAAAAGATGTAAATTGCTGCTTTATTAGCTCCAATTTGATCATCACTATGTCTAAAAACTGCTCTTTGTTCTCAATAATATGTCCCTTGGTTCTAGTATGAGAAACTCACCCCGCCACAACCCACACACCTGCTGTGCACCCAGCACATAAGCGTGGTAGATTTTACTATTGTTCACGATTGCGGGTTCCCTCCCCACCTTTACGGTGGCCTCCTGTGTAGACTGACAGTCATTCTAGTCCCACTAGACAGAGACCACTGTGATGGGACAAAAGACCGGGATGACAAAATAAACCCCTGGGTGCAGTAAACTATTACCCTTTACAGCATGGCTTATTTTTTTCCTCTACTTTTGTGTTCTTTTCAACAGATCCATCATGAGACCCTAATAAAACCCCAGAAGCAGAACATTTGCATGAAATGAGAAATTGTTGCAAAAGAAAAGTCTAAATAAGCCCTCTAGCTTATTTTGCTCTTAGCACACTTAAAAATCACTGTTTTGGAGGGAGGTCACACATCTAGGTTATACGTTATTGGTTTCCCACTAGCTTTGCTGCAGCTAACATCTCCTATATATAGATTATGGTAATAGTTGCCTAGGTTACTTGAAGGCCAGTTTTATTAACGCACTGAGTCTTCACTTGAGCCTGCAGATGTCT